AATGTGCAAGGTAGTTGTTTGAGGTTTTTTTCTCTCCTTTTTTTGTTTTGTTTTTTTTTTTTTCTTTTAATTACACTGTTACACTTGACTTGCCCAGATGGGCACCAGCCTTATGGAAAGTAGGACTAAATTAGCATGGGGGGGTGGGGGGGGGAAGAGCAGAGAAGCAGCTCCCTTCTGTTTAAATTAAAACTGAGCCTCGTCAGAATGTTGCCAATTAAAAATAAAATGAATGACTTTGCTCTCTCTGTAGGTGACCTGTCTCCATGATTTCTTTGGGGATGATGATGTGTTTATCGCCTGTGGTCCAGAAAAATTCCGCTATGCACAGGATGACTTTTCTCTGGATGAAAGCGGTAACATCAAACGCACGCTGTGGTTTTATTTGATTTCCATTCAGTTGCTTGTATCAGATAATAATGCTGCATGCTTCTGTTCTGGTTTTTAAGACCCAGTACATGGAATTTAACATCCTATTGTGATACTTATCCAGTCAGCAGATATTATAATCAGGCAAATACTGGCTGAGGTAGCCCAAGTCAGAATAAATTAACTCCTACTCCATTTGACATTTACCACAAGTATATTCTTTCAATTTTCTCCAGTTGCAGTCAGAGAGATACATTTTTCCTGAGAACTAAACCTCCCTATGCAGACAAGTAAACATTAAAAAAATGGGAAAAAGCGACAGTTAAAAAAAAAAAAAATCGTATTTCCACTGCTTTCTTCTGCTGATTCAAAAAGCAGGGCAGTAATTTTCTTTTGGAGGCAGACACAACTGTGACAGCACCATTATTTGTCCCTGTTACAAGTGCAAGCCCAGGTCTATAATAATGTGAGGCTCCATGATCAATTAAGCCATGAAATCTTTAATTTCACAGAATATACAGAGCTTGCTTGTAGGACTTACCACCCGCCCTACCTGGCTACCATATCTACCAACAGCACACACTGCCTGCAGGTGCCAGTGAGTGCAGCAAGAGGAAATTAATGTCATTTTGACCATTTAAACTCTAAAAGATGTCCTCCAAGCATCTAGGTTCATTTCCCAAAGTTCTAGGTATCCTGTATAAGGAGTACGAGCCCCATGCTGTCCAATCTGCTACAAACTGGCTTGCTGTTGAAGACCAAGGAGAACTTTTGCTGTATGCCAGGAGGTCAAGCAGCCTCTAACCTTCAAACACTCTGTTTTTGTGATACCTTTGCAAGCCTGATTTTATTCAACGCTGGTACTTCTGACCTGTGTACTCCAGGTGAACCCATTCTGATGGTCTTGGGTGATTAATAGAAAGTTTTCCAAGGTTCAGCTGTGACTTTGTAGGCAGAGAATAAAGCCTGTGTCAGGCTGGGGAAGCAATCCGTAACCTGAGCTTCGTATTTTTTTTTAACACTCAGCAGTTGAGTCAGCTCCAGAGGGAGTTCCACGCTGTAAAACAGTTTGGATGCAATCCTGGCAGAACAACTTGATGGGAAGCCCAGCTCTCTGCCTACACTCCTGGTTACTACTCGCTTTTCCGTCTTGGATTTCTCTCACACAAATAAGCCAAGCCTGCTGTTGGGAAGGCACCGCTGCCCTGCAGCTCTCAGGAAGCAGATGAGGAGCTGTTAGCAGCATTATCCACCCATGATCCTTCCTTGTTACGAGTCAGATGCTGCAAGAACTGCAAATCCCGAGGTTTTGCAGATGAATGTCACTTACTAAAATCTCCTCTGTCACGGGGAACTTTTCCTTGCCTGTTCGGATGACACGCACCAGGGTTGCTGGTTGTTATGTTCGCTCTGGCAGGACATCAGGAAACAAAATGAGGAATAGCATAAGAGGGAATTATGTCATCTTTTTCCTCCTGAACTGCCCACCACAACTTCCACCCTCTAATCCCTGCTGCTGAGCATCTGCCAGATGACACTGCTCTGTCCAGTTTGTACCCACTGGTTTCAGGATCAGCCCATGGACATGTCACACCCTGGTGATGTTTGGAGGTCTGTTTACACCAACTTCAGCACAGTCAGGTCTCCACCTTCAGAGCATTTTTTCCAGATGTGCAAATGCTCAGTGATAGCTTTTGGTGTACTGACACTTGCCAAGGGCGGAGCTGGAGGAATTCCTCAGAGTCAGCCTTTTTGTGCTAGAAAATGCAAAGCTGGGTTTCTTTTCAAGGAATTACTCCCCTGGGAAGAAAATAAATTTGTAAGTTCTTACAAGGACGTAATATGAAACATTTTTACTTTTTATGTATATTTTTTTAGTGAGTAATTCCGATGACTGAACACAGCTGCCTGACATCCTTGGCTTCTGGGATACCCATGTGATATATGATTGACAGATTCGGTGCCTATGGCCAGGCCAGTGAGTTGTGCTCCAAGATCCAAATGGTGCACTGTTTTTTGTTAGTATGCAAGAGCCTTGAAAAATATAACTTCTGCAGTGACTGAAGAGGATTTTTCCTCATGATTTGTCTCAGCTGGTTAACACAGTGGCTGGCTATTTCACAGCGTCTCATCAAACACTGTATTCTTTAGTATCAAGGAGGGATAGTCTACCTTCCATGCATCTCCCCACCCCCCAGCATCAATACTGCTCTTCATGTATAGAAAATTGGGGCTATATTAATGTTGGACCTCTACAAGCCTTTCAGTGACATCGTATGTGAGAAGTCAAGTGCTTTTGAAAAAAAACCCAAAAAACAGCACACACACAATTTTTTTGTATCCCTGATTTACAGTTTCCAAAATCATTTGTCAGGGGAGAAAATAAACTCATTGTAGGTTTAATTATTGCCATTCAGTGTCCCTGGAGCACAAGGCATCCTCTCCTTATATTCTTGTACTGCATGACCCGACAGCAAACTCTCTTGCAAACCATCTGGAAGGAGAAGAGACAGACTCTGGAGTGTCTGAGAATGAGGAAAGCCTGGGGAAAGAATTAAGGCAATTACATTTTCATAGATATACTGATATATAATTAAATAATGCATACATTTAGGTCAGACAGCTTGTTTTCAGTTGACCAATTATTTATCTGATATGTGCTGCCTTAGTTGATTCCCACTGGGGAATCCAGTCAAGAAGGTCCTCAACACAAGCCATGCATGCAGAGCTGAGCTCAACTTTTCTTTTAGAAACTGTCTGTACAAGGAACATGTAATTCACATCTGTAAAAAATGCACATTTTCGCATCTTGGTGAGCACAAGCTGTTGTAGGAGATGAGGTGAGACCTGTGAACATTTGACAAAAAGGAAATTCCCTTTTTATTGTCTTCTTCTTAACTGGGTTAAGTTAATAACTTGAGGGGTGGAAAGTTCTTTTTCTGTTAGCTCTCAGTGTAAATAAACCCTGGTTTTGAAGATCTGGCATGCCTGAAATCCTGGGACACACAGGGGTTTGTTAGGATTTCAGTTCCTTTCTGCAGGACCCTGTAGATCATGTTTACATTTTCTCCTCTTCCTGGCGTATTTATTTTTCAAGAAAACACAGTTGGGGTTCTCATCTGCTCATGTCTTCAAGTACATAAATCTGCTGGGCTTGTTTATACAAACCTTTCTGAAAGGGATGAGTGGCCAGGACAGAGGATGTGTTTTGTAGAACCATTTTATCTTCTTTCCGTTCTGTGTCTGAAAAGCTGCAGCTTGTGGAGACAGAAGAGGCTCATTCAGGCTGGGTGAAAGTCTCCTGGGGCCGATGCCCCATCTGCCACTTGGAGACTTTACACCATGCCATGAGCTGTTTCCTGGCTTCCTGCACCTGCATAAGTTGCAGTCACCATTCCTCCCACTAAATCTTCACGGAGGGGTGACAACAAATTACTTGGATTTTTGGGCCTGATTCCTTGCTCAGTGTTGACCATTTTCACTGTGCTCACGAGTCAGTGAGAACCATGGCAAGGGCGAGGGCAGAAAATGTTTGGTGGGACGTGGGTATGGAGACAGGCCCTGCTAGAGCCAGCCCAACACCTACACTATCTCAGCACCTCCTTTAGAGAAGCTGAGCTGTCCTCTTTTCCCTCCCCTTAAAAAGTCTCCTTTCTGCTCTGGAGAAAATGTGCTGATATCAGGCTTTTCCCCTTGCCCTTGATACTTGCTCTTTGGAGACAAAGCACCCAGCTGCCCCGGGGTGTTTCGTACCTGCTGTCCGCGGGCAGCGAGGGCAACAGGGACATAACCAGGGTTTCTGTGTGTTTCCCCAGAGTGCCGGGTGATGAAGGGGAGCCCTGCAGCTGCCACGGGCAGTAAGTCCTCTCCCACCCCTCAGAAGAGCTCTGCGAAGAGCCCAGCGCCCATGCGCCGCAGCAAGTCCCCAGCCGATTCAGGTAACCATCAAGATGGTGAGTGACTGTTTCTTGGTGTCTGAATATTGACTGTGCTCAAGGGAGAGACACGTACTCTGTGTGTTTGCACAGGAAACCCTGGTATTTTTTTGGAAAACAGGGAGCTGGTGCTGCAGGGGCACTTAGTAAATGTTGGAAAGGAGTTCTCTGGTTGGTTGAGTGCAGTTGTGGCTTGAGGTCGCACCACCCACAGTCTCACAGCCTCCCTCCCTAACAGCACTTTAAAAGAGGTTTCCATTTCACAGGCAGGAAATCAAGGCCTCACAGTGCTCCCAGATGTTCCCCATAGATACAGACTGATTTAGAATAACCTCCTGTGCAAAGCTAATGGTAATTATTGTGCAGGTCAGAAGAGGCTCCTTCTAATCCTTATTTAAAGAAGACCAGTGATCTTGCAACTGGAGAACTGGTGAGGGGTTTATTGATGTGATCCTGAGACGTTCACTCCGTAATAAAAGAGAGGGAAAATGGGACTTTGCTGCCACAGCTTGCACCACTTGAAAAGCCTCCCTTCTCCTTCATCAGCCCCTGAACTGGTGGTGTGGCACACCTGGAGAGCTGCAGAGCCCATCAATTGAAGGTTGGGCTGCACATTGTAGTAATTCCAGTAACTAATAGTTTTCAGAGTCGTGGAAAGTTCCTAGAGTCACAATGAATCTCTGGTGTGTCATCTGCTTGCCTGTTCTGTTCCAAAAGAGAACCAGACATGGCCTTTCACTAAAATGGCCAAATCACAAAAAAAGGACGCCAGGATTCCAGGAGAGCCTCATCTCTTGAATTCAAGTGGCCCACAGCATTAACACAGGTGATATAAAACAGAAATTATTTTTCACCCTCATGCTAACACACAGCATATTTCATGGGAACGCCACACAACTGCTGACTTCAGTAGACATTGGATTATTGGATATAAAATTCTCTTGACAGTAATCAGAAGGATTTTCCCCAGGAAGCAGTTCAATCTTTTAGGCTTGGTTTTTCTTGGTTGGTTCTTTAGCTGCTTAAAGAGACAGTGTGAAATTGGTTGGCACTTGCCAAGACTCTCTAATTTAAAAAAAGTTATTTTTCTGTAAGGGGATTTTGCATTCATAAAGTTTTTCTTCAATATGCCAGTGTTGGTTGTTCCTAAACTCAGGCTTGCTATAATCTAAAAAGCTTTTATAATCCCAAAAGCCTGGTAAAGTTGTGTGGGTACATTGAAGGCATGGTGAAAATTATGTTGTCGATTTAAAAAATCCCAAACTAACATTCAACAATCTGTGAGTCAGCTCATGTATGAGCTGTGAAACAGCATTTAAACCTTCTCCGTAAGCATCAGGTACTAATTACCACCAGAACTAGGCTTTACTGCATGAACACATAATCTAATGTGAAATGTCAACTATTGTGTTCCTGATTTTAACTGATTGAGTGACTTACAGGAACAGAATGGTGAGTCATCTGATGAGGTTTAATGAACACAGTCAGCAGAGCTTTTCAGAGGGAGATTAAAATAACCAGAAATGCTGAACAAGAGCCAGTTCCTGGAGTTAAGGCCAGTAATGAAGGACAAATCAGGTTTCTTTAATCCATCCAGACAAGGGTCTTTCGTACTTTCCTGTAATTTCAATACAGGAAGAAATGGCAGCCTGTCCTGTTTAATAAGAATGAAAAAGACTGAACTCTTTCAGCACTGGAAGATGGAAGGCTTGTTTACTCAGGACAGAGAGAAAAAAGAATATAATTTAGTATTCTTGTCTTGAGCTTGAAATAAATTAAGTGGATTTGCACACCATTTAAGAATCAATATTTACATTTAGGTGGATTTTGATGTTATCACATGAAAAAAGCAAGGAATGCTGAATGAAGCCTGATTACTAAAAGACTATCAGACATTTTTTTCCCCCACAGAATTCTCACCCATTTAATTTGTGAAACTGTTTAAAAGTAGTTTTACTTCAAATATATATATATATACAGCTGTGTGTTTGCTCTCCTACACATTCATACCTTTTATCTTTGCTGTCTTTCACTCTGCTATGGTGACAACAGATATATTGTCACACCAGAACCTTTAGTTTCCTTGGTTCTGTGTTGGTAGTTTCTGTTCTCTGCAGTTCTTCTCAAAGCAGGTTTCTGTACCCTTTTTTCCCCCCCAAGGTCTCTAAGGCCTTTGTGACATGTCTGGGCACTGATATCAATGCAGATTCAGAGGTATACATACATATATATATATATATGTATATACACCTTCTCAGCAATGCCAGTGTGTTTCTGGTTTGACCCAGCTATTCCTCCAACTCTGTGTTGATTGTTCCATCATGGGACTGTTTTTACCTCTTGGTTCAGCTTAACTGGAAGGTCCTGGCTGTTTCGCCAGCAGTTCCCACTGGTCTTCCAATATATCCTTTAATTTCCAACCTCTTTGGTACTGGAGCTGTGACACAGCCTTTCATCTATGTCCTCCTCCCATCTCTCACATCATGTTGCTTCCAGCAAAGTGCACTGAGCAAAGTACAGCAGGATTTTACTTCTCTCCTTTCAGTAATGTATCCAAGTGCCTTTCTCTGTCTCCCAAATGTTACCTAAGAAAACTGAGCTAGTTTCTCATATATCAAGTGTGAATTAAGATTTGGAAGGGATTGGTGTCTCTGTCTGGCCTTAGGTGAGCTTGGGTGGTTGTATTTCAGTACAGTCTGAACATGCAAGAAAGACACAGGTAAACTAGAGAAAACCCAGAAGAAATTTTCTCTAGAAACTGCTTTGGGAGCAAAAGCTGAAGGAAATGGGCTGATCCAGGTTAGAGAAAAGGAAAACTGAGAAGGGACAATATAACACTCTCCAAAGGCATCTGAAGTATTGAAAAGAGGATAAGGATCAATTTTCCTTTGTGCCTGTCAGGGATAGGACAGGACATTGATTTAATCTTTAATATGAGATATACAGGTCAGATATTAGGAATACTTTTCAATTATAAGTAACTTGATTACTGCATCAGGTCTCTCAGGGAGCCTGTGAGTCCCTGTCAGACTTTATGAAGTTAAAACATAAGATCTCTGCCAGGGATGGGCCAAATACATTTGATCCCAATTTAGAGAACAAAATTGGAGTTACAAAGCTTCTGTGGTATTTCTAGCCTGGATTTTTCTTTCTGTGGAGTCAGCTTTGCTAAAAGACATAGCTTAGAGCAATGAAACCCATCCCTTTCCTAAGATGACAGAGGAAAACTGTGCATAAGGAGAGAAGTCTCTGTTTTCCTGCTATGGTCCACGAGATTTAAATGGAATAGGATCAGCATGAAGTTTGGCAAAATTTCTTTAACAGACTGCTCCAATAAGGAGTCAAACAGAAGAAAAGACAGAGCTGAAGCTCTGGGGAGAAACACAGGGCAGAAAATAGTGATGTCATTTGCCGTTATTTCTTTGTTATAAAAATGTATCTTACAATAACTCACACTCCAGACAAGGGTTCAGTTTTATAACATGTGCTGTGATAGGAGAGTTAATGATTTTTAAAACCAATCCTTTGCAGGAGAGAGCCACAGGTACCTGAACTGAAATTTGAAAATGTCTTTGCCCAGTTTTGCCCTGATTTGGCTCAGGGAGAACATGAACAGGGCTCTGAGGCACTGCTGCAGGACCTTAATTTCTCAGCGCTCTAATGGGAAGGTTTGGATAGAGGGACAGAAGCATATTCACAAGGCAGCAGCAATTAGCAAAACAGACACAGAATGTCAGTCTGTCCTGCCTGCAGAGCTGGCTCCCCGGGGTCATTATATATGAATGTGTTAAAAAGGCAGCAGATGTCTTTGGGACTGCACACCAGAGAGAGCAGCTTGTTCTCTCGCTTGTGCTATGGATGTTCTGCCCACTGACAGTCCACAGTGCACATCCAGGGAGAGATCCCCTCACAAAACCTGGTGAGAAGAGGATACCAACACTGCAGAGCTGAGTGCTTGGAAGTTTGGAGGTGCCTGAGCGAGGGATGCCTGTGCAATCTGAATTCTTCCACTCCTGAACAAACAGTACAATGGAACCTTTATTTTTCCCGTGGCTCCTCTGTCCTGGAGTGCAGGAGGGCTTGTGCTCACTAAAGGAGCTGCACTTTCTACATTTGCTTTATGCTGTCCTTGTTCTGGTTGTTCCTTCTCTTTAATTTCTTGGTGATGCTTCAAACCCTGACCTGGGGACGAACCTATGCATGTATTTCATGGTTCTTTCTCTCACTCTTGGGGTGTGTGAGCATGAGCTCCTCGAACTAAGAACTCATCTGCTGAATCCTGGGAACCCCAATCAAAGCAAGGAGCATTAACCTTATTTTACTAATTGATAGAAATAGATATCTCCATGCTTTTTGAGCACTGCCTGTGATCCCTGGGCCCTGCTTTTTCCAGTGCTGTTTGTTGATAGAAATGGGAATTCAAAAGGTCTCGGTGCTCATCATCACTGGAAATTCAGATCCAGAGTCCCAGCCACCCAGGCAAGCCTGAGCAACACTCACAGAACAATTGCACATGGGAATTTTGGCTAAAAGGGGTCCTACAAGAAGGCTGAAGAGGGACTTCTGACAAGACTATGGCGTGATAGGACAAGGGGGAATGGCTTTGAGATGAAGGAGAATAGTTTTAGATATTAGGAAGATACTAGGGTGGTCAGGTCCTGGCACAGGTTCCCCAGAGAAGTGTGGCTGCCCCACCCCTGGAAGTGTCCAAGGCCAGGTTGGACAGGGCTTGGAGCAACCTGGGCTAGTGGAAGGTGTCCCTGCCCATGGCAGAGGCTTGGGACGAGGTTCTGTGACTCTGTGATCCTAAAATATCTGTGGGAGACGGAGACAGAGGATTCAGCTTATCTGGATCTTTCATAGCCTCTCAAACGTGACATGATTATTCTCCCTCGTCCCTCTCATGTGCTGGACAAGCCTGATTTCTCTCAAGTACAAATTGCCTTGTGCACTGGAGGAGATAAGGAGCCTATGAAAACAACGTAGTGCACGTGCTCATGCGATTAAAGGATGTGTTATATGCACAAAGAGCCTTTAAGGTAGATTGGGGTCACGAAGCAAATACAATGACATAAATAAGACATAAGACACAAACAATAACATGGTGGGAAAAAAAAAAAAAACAAACAAAAAATTCAAATAAAACCTGGTTATAAAGAATGGTTCCCAATAGCTGAGTGTAGGTGAGATCCTGAGCTATCCTAAGTCATCAACAGATTTTAGTGGAGCAGCAGCATTATACACCACCTGGGATCTGCTCTTTGCCTCTTGTTGGTTTTTTTGCATTTCAGTTCAAAAGAAATGCAGGCAAGTTTGCTTATGAACACTATTCTTCATTAGCAGACATAGAGAAAATTAAACTGGCCTTCTTAATTGTTGCTCCTGCTGCAAAATTGCGCTGTATTTGTAATGATATTCATCCATCTCATTCGATTTCTGATTTGGATGTCACATCTGGTTTTTCGTTGATGCTCATAAAATATTAATATCCCTGCTGTAGCACTTAAAAGTCTCATTGTATTAGGGAATTTCTATCCTTCCCTGCAGCAATTACATCCATTTGCTGCACACTGACTGTTTGCTGTTCTTCCAGTCTTCCTCTTAGGGGAAGGGAAATTTCGGTTCTTTGTAGAGTTGTTAGGTGGCATTTTTCATCTTAGGAAGATCAGTGACAACTGGAAATAAATAAAGAAAGAGGCTTTTTAGGCGTTGGAGAAGGATTCTAGCTAATACAGTTTATACTACTAACTATTCTATCCCATGTTTTCTTTAACAGAAAACACAAAGTCTCTTGGTGAAATAAAACATAAAAGAGATCCAAGTTCTTTTTTACTGAATTGCCTTCATTATATGGCATATAGTTGGAGAACTCTGCTTGTTTTCCCCGGCAGCCTTGAGGGCAGCTCACTTTGCAGAACTGGAGCACAGTGAAGTGTCACAGCACGGGGCAGGGACCGGGGTGTAACAGTCTCTGGGTTTCCATAACTAGTTTTTTTCCCCCTCCCAATAAAGAATGGTCTGAGTGGAATGGGGAGGTGAAGGGTCACTCTCTTCCCCAATTATCTCTAAACCATTATTTCTACCACCTTTCAAGAAATATCCATTTCCTCAGTGAGGTGCATTTGCAATGGGAAAAAAAGATTGTCTGTGATGAATAGCCTTCTCTTCCCAACAGAGTAGGAAGTGCATAGAAATGAAGACAGAGGACCCACATTACCATGAATCTGTCGAGTCTGAGCTGCTGTCCTGTGCTGGAAGCTCCTCCTTTGTTCTGAGGCTTAGATCACATGTTTCTCTACACTTACTTGAACTCACTTGAATGAGCTCTGCATTTGGGCCAGTGATACTTAAAAACCTGAGCTACCCCCCTGCTCCTTTCTCACAAGAAGGTAACAGAGAAGAGGAATCAGCCTGTTTGGGGCATTAAAGCAAGAGTTGTGCTGGTTTTGCTCTTCAAAATACGACACCCATATATAATCTTGCTGTATGATACTTTATACACTTCTTCAATCTCCTCCAGACACTCAAGTACTTGCTGTACTTGCTTATTTTTAAGTACCCCATTTGCAGATTCAGCTTCTATAATTGAAAGCCTAAGTCCCTTGTGCTGAAATCATCCCCCCTCCTCTGTGCATGCCTGTACAGTTGTTAGAGAAATGACACAGAGGGATACTGGGCACTCTGAGAGCAGGACAGCCAGCCTGGAGTATGACATGCTCGTTTTCTGTGTGAAACGTCAACACACTTCAAAATCCTTTCCTTAAGGGCAGGGATTTGTATATTTATCTGGAGGGCTGGCAACACTACAGCCATTTAGGGAAATGACAATCAAAATATTTGAGGCTTAGTTTTGTGGCTTGTGCTGAATACATAAACATCTGGAGTAGGTTTTGGAAATGTCACTTTCCATAGACTTGATCGGGAGATGTAGTTTAATGCTAATAAGGCCTCCAGCAGCCTGCTGCTGCTTGGATTGCAAAAAGAAAAGGCCAGAAAGGACAACATCCTTGGACACAGCCAGAATGAGTCTGAATTCCCTTTCCTTGAGTAAGGCTCCTTGTGCTGATGGAGCTTTGTGTTTAAACCCCTGGTAAGAAGAGGGTTTGTATCCCTGGAGTTGATACCTGACCTATGAATGACCAAACTCGCTATGTGTGAGCATGTCCTTAGGAAATAGGTATTGTGACACCTGGCAATTATCAAAGGCATTAGCTTACCCCAGTGAACATCAGCAGTAGGAAAAAAATCAATTTATCCTTATTCCATTTTGTTTCCCTTCATTTTTTTCTGCATAATATGCTATTTACTTTGATTCTTTTTTAGTCCAATAAATGCATAATAGCTTGCCCTGACATAGACTTATGCCCTTCACTTTTGACTAAAAAGTGAAGGCCTCTGAAAGCCTCGATGAGCAGTCATTCCAAAAGCCATTTTGTTTAAATGAATAATACTTTTTTTAAATTGAGAATAACTATGTGTACTATGTTGCTTTTTTTTCCAAAGCAACATGAACAAACAAATCAACCCAAAAGCCCAGATTTTGGTCTTTGTAAAATTTTGCAAAAGATTGCTTCTTGATGTACTACTCCTGTGCCTTCCATGATGGACCATGTCCACTTCTCTGGTGCAGGCAGCAGAGGAAGACCAGAGACCTGTCATGTCACCCTGTGCTTCCACCAAGGCTTCAGAAGGGCTCTTTGGTCACTTAATCCCCTCCACAGCTACTACATCCAAGGCGTTCCAGGCTGCTGTTTGTCCAATTTGTAACCATCTAACATTTCTTATCTAGGATTCAGGATGTCTTCAGCCTCTGGTTTCCCCACACCGTTAAACTGTTTGAGAACATAGAAATTGTCTTTCTGTTTTTGTGATGTTGTGTATCTTGGATCAATTTGGTGAATGTTTGCTGTGTAAAATACTGCTCCTTCTATTTATTTTCTATTCCACTGTATTTTGCAGTCAATTACCCTGAGTGGCTGAAAGCCTTGAGTTAGGTTAACAGCCATGGTATTTGTTTGGCTTTTTTATCCTGCCTAACATGAATAAACTATAGTGTTTCTGTGTTAAATGTTTGGAGACCTTCCATCTCCCCAAAGGAGGAAGATCTTCCCCTTGCTTGTCTTGATTTCTAGCTTCTGTCTTGTTTTCTCTCAGCAAACGGGACCTCAAGCAGTCAGCTGTCCACACCCAAATCCAAGCAGTCCCCGATCTCCACACCCACCAGCCCAGGGAGCCTCCGTAAGCACAAGGTATTATGTTTCTTATACCTTACTACATCTGTTTCTGCCTTAGTTCGCTCAGACTTTTGTGACATTTAAGCCCTGGCCAGGTTCTCTGGAAGCAAAGCTCCTCACGTTGAAACAGTGGAGTTTGGCCCTTTACCTGAAAGGGTTGTTGCTTCAGACTCTGCAAGGTGGTGAGCAACAAAGCATTGGCCTGTTTCCTCCAGACGGATCAGAAGAGAGAACTTAACCCTGAGCTTGTATCACTGTTTGAAGAAGTTATTGATGGGTATGGGTTCATATAAATCCTCCTCTCTTGAAAAGCCTCAGGTGTTGGCAAATCTGGTTCATTAAACAGCAGAAGCAATGCAAATGTTACTGAAGCTCTAAGACATCACTTTAATGATGCTCCTTAAGAATTTATTTTTTTTTTTAATTATTTAAGGGCATGCTCTGTTTTACAGGAACCAGCTGATTTTTTACAGCTGGAGTGGTAATTGTGATCTGGAACAGTAGCTGGTTTTCCTGGTCACAAACAGCCTGTCTAACAGGTAGCACAGCATCCTAGTAGAGATCTCTAAACCTGTGCTGGCTCATAGATAATTCATGCATTGATTTATTTAAAAGGTACAGCAGCTGTCACAGCTTTTTCAGTTCCTGTTGTTCAGTGGCATTCTGTGCTGAGTTCAGGTTTTCATTTCCGTGGGCCTTTGCATTTCTGGAATAGCCATAGCGCTGCTTCCACCAGCCTTCACCTGATAGGAACTTGGGCATAAATGTAGGTGTGGGAGAGGAGGTCAAGGGGATGTCTCTTTAGGTATCAGAATGCACCTCTCATCCTGAGAGTGACTTTGAAAATATTGACTTGACGTTCTGGAAGAGTAATTTAAAAGTTCTGGTAGTGCTGAGGTTTTGCAGTCGGCAGCCACATGGAATCTACTGTGGGCTAAATTGCACGGGCTGGACTCATTTTGGTTAACAAAGGGATAGCTGAATTCAAATGAAATCTGTTTTCCTCAGGACTGCACTCTAACCTCAGCTGCTCAGCCTAGGTCTGAGGAAATGAACCAATTTTAACAAAATGTGTCCAGATTTATTATTAATTTACAACTGAGAACAGAAAATCTGGCCCATGGTCTAAATTTAACAATTGCTTGTGTATATTCAGCAGGAGTAATGCTGTAAACTGCATCCTTTGCTTCAGCAAAAAGAACCTAAAATGCTTTCCAAACACTATCCCATTTAAACTTTGGAGATGAGGATTCGCTTCCTGGCAAAGACAAGTAAAACTCACCTTTCAATGTTTTATGTATGCTTTCAGCTGGCTGGTTTATGACCTTTTCCAGTGAAGCCCCGAGAACATTTGTAATAGAGGGTGACTGCTGAGGGCAAAGCCAATCCAGTATGATTTTCTCCACTAAGTTAAGCCAGTCTGCAAATATGAACACGGCATTTTAGCTTACCAGAATATTCATGCATCATTGTCTTTTTCCCAGGAGCAATTTCCTGCTTTTGATGAAATCACTTCTTTCTTTCCCCTTAAAGCTCAAATGATAAATGCTTAAGTTGAGTACACCACAAATTCCTATTTTACCTCTTCTTACATCAAGATTTCTGTGAATTTCCTTCCTGAGTATTTGGGATTTAATTCATTTTGCTCACAGTTATTACCTGTGTGTGGGTCAGAGCCCAGACAGGTCCCAGGAGAGTGTTGGCCCTTGAGCTGGTTTGTGTTCCTGATTCCATGCAGAACTTTGAGGAAGTGGAATAAGATGGTTATCCAAGAAAGGGACCCTGGAAAAGCTTTACGTTCAGCATCTGATCCAAATAATAACCTTGGGATTGTTTTCCTTAACCTTTCTCATTGATCAGAAATTACCTAAAATAAGGAATAAATCATGGAATGTGATTTTCGTAGAGATTTGTCCTGAAGGTAGCTGTCAAATTAAGGTAAGGCTCTTTACTGTGGACTTAGGTTCAAAGAGACCTGTTTAAAGCAAGGTCCTGCTCTTCCACGCGTGGGCTAAAATGGACACACTGATCCAGAAACAACAAAACCATCACTTCTCAAACTTAGCCCTGAACAGGCATCTTTCTTCTGGCACCGAGATGCTCTTGTTCCACTGTGTGAGTGTCAGGTCTCGATTTTAGCCGTGATCTGCCCGCTCAGGCCGGTCCAGTAACCGGTGCACGAGTCCTCCACCCTGTCCCTACGGACTGCACGGAGCTGGGCCACTCTGCTGCTCCCTTATGCATGGCCAGAGGTGGAAACTCATTGTGAGAGTTAACATTTTCTTCTTTCTCCCTACAGGACTTGTATCTGCCTCTGTCTTTGGATGACTCTGATTCCCTTGGAGATTCCATGTAGAGCGACACGGAGCTAAATGTCCATATTGCAAGCATTGTCTAAGATACAGTGAAGTACTTCTGCCAGAATAAGCAGATAGGTGACTGGTGCTTTCAAATCAAAGGACACACCCTTATATGTCTTTTTTTTTTTTTTTTTTCTCTTCCTGTGATTTATCCTCTGTGCCACAAATCAACACCTGCCAGTCTCTAGAGATAGAGGGATACCATTTGTCTAAGTTACAGGGATGCAAAATGGACATTGTGAAAAATTTGGGGCATTTCTGTGCATTTCCCATTTTCTTCTAGTGTTTCCTCTTCTGCTGCAGCTGTGTAATTTTCCTAGTGATAGTAAAGTAGCTCCCCTGGAAGTGTGCAAATGGATCCCTTGCTGACCAGTTTGCAAGCCCAAGTAGGGCAAATGATGTTCTCCACCTGTCCAAACTGCCAGCATTTGCCAGCTCACCTGTTCCTCATTTACAGCCCAAATTTAGCACCTGCATACTAACCAGTATTGGTTTTATTTTTGGAGGGCAGGAAGTGAAATGACTTAGTAGCTTGATGCTTAATATGCCAGCAGAAGCTTGGCTGAGATTAGGAATGGTTGTGTAAGATGCTAAGTAAGGTTAGTACAATAAATCAAATTATTCAAATATTGGGATTTAAAAAAAAAAAAAAAAAAAAGTTAAGCAAAAAAAACATAAATCAGTTACCTGGAGTGGAACACCTTCCACAAATAATCCAAGGGTACTGCTAGCTGGTAGGAAATGTTTATACCTCCCTTATGGTATCTCTCTATCTCTGTTTATAACAGCAATGCCTTGTGAACAGCCAACACTGAAAACACTGTGAGAATTTGTTTTCAGGTTTGACACCCTATAGGTCACTTTTTATAGCAAAAAAATCAATACACTTTTTATAAAGGAAAACCTTGTATCTGTGTTTTGGGAGTAAGGATTCAAGCTCCTTCTTTTTTATAAAAGCTGGTAATTTTCTTTTGTTTAAAAAACACGCTCAGAAAAAAAAAAAAAAGTACAAAAAAAACCAACCACAACTTCAGAACAATAATAACAGCAACTCAGTTAAGAAATCTTGTCATCACTGCCAAAACAGACACATGTAGTGGAAAACAAAAGGTCAACTCAAAATATTGAATGTTTTGATAGTTTTTGTAATGTTTAAGACTACGTACTTGGTTTTTTACACTTCAATATTCCTAACTATGGCCAGATTCTCTACTTATATAACAAATTGAATTTTGTGATGTTAACCCCCCCCCCATATTTTAAGAAACTCTTCTATCTGATTAAAAAAAAAAAAAAACAAAACAAACAAAACCAACTTGCTGTATTTAGAGAAACCTTTTGCTTTTATTAATCAGTAGTGACTCCTAAGGAATGCAAAGTTCATCTCTTCACACAGGCTGGTGGTTTTTACTACACTGAAGCTTTGTCATAGGCCAGCTGGCACTGCCTCCCTTCCTCGTGGAATAAGCTTTGATGAAACTGATTATTGCAGAACTTTACCTAAATGAAATCTGTGCAATCAAATCTTTCTTTGTTGCTCTATTTGCCTTTTTTTTTTTTTTTCCGACACAGACACCTGTTCTATTGCCTTGCAACCCCCTTGTGATTAGAATGAATTATACTGTTGTGATGTTTGATGCTACATGAATGCTGGGCTGTTCCCAAAGCCACTCCATGTTTTGTTTGCTTGCATTGCTGGTATGAAACAATCTGTGCAGGCTGCATCTTTAGAGCTTCATGTGATCTTACGTAGAATGCAACTTAAAAAAGAGATTTATCAGAGAGAGGTCAGGATTGGGAATTACCAAGGGGTCAGAGTTATCATGCACCAAATTTGCACCCAGTAGTCTTAGTGCGTGATCATTTACACCCAGAGTTTTGCATCAGAAATCATTTGTTCTCACTAATAACTTCATTTAATTTAATAACTCTCTGACTGCACAACTGCTAAACGATGGTTTTACCTACTGTAAATAGAATCCTGGGGTTAGTTCAAAGGCTAAGGGCTCGTGTAGAAGGATGGTAGTGTGGACAAAGCGTAGGTGCAGTAGTCAGGACACCTTTCAGCCCTTGGCATTGCTCAATTTAGTGTCTGAATGGGAGCAGGTCTCTTAGTAACCCTGTGCCTCAATCTGTCTGTCTGTCCCTGCAGGGACAACACTGTTCTACCTCACTGGGGGTTGTGAGGCCAAATGTTGGTTAACATTTGTAAAATGCTTTCAGATCCTCTAACAGAAGGTGCTGAAGTATTCTGGGTGCAGATTTGGTCATGGGTGCTAATTTTTGGCTGTTTAATCCTGTGAGTGCTACTGTAGACACTGGCCATGAGCAAATAGAACTTTTTAATCATTAGGATGTCAAAGGCCATGGTTACACTAACGGTATTATTCATCAGAGCTTTTGCCTTAGCGAGAGCTTTTGTGTTAGCTTTGAGTTATCAAAAATAATCTGATGTGCTTTTACCCTCTCTTCTGTTCTGTTGGTGGAAATCTCAGAGTCCCTCCCTGAGTCTCTGCCTTTCCAGGGACCCTGACTAGTAGCCATGGATTGGACTCCAGCCAAAGGTGCTGTTCACACACAGTAGCACAGGCCATTCCTGTCATGGTCATGGTTAGCATGTCCTGCCACCTTTCCTCAGCTAAACCAAGAGACCAGCCGTGAAAAAAAATCACATCTGGGTCCTCTTGATGTTCAGTACAGGACACTCACTGTAGATCCACCTGGAAACCTAAATCTTTGCTATCCTGAACTGCTTTTAGCAGCCTGAACTGCTGGAGCTGGTGGTGAGGAGTAGGAAAGGAGTCTGAGACGTGCTTTCATCCGGTATCCACGAGTGCAGTTTGTCTAAGAAAGAACAGGATCCTAAGGCATGAATGATCCTTTGGATGGATGGTTGTTGAAGCAGCTGTTGAGAAGTGGTTCCTTTCCTTCCTGCCACAAGCAGTGTTTGGTTATTTGAGGATGCTTTTCCTGGTGGAGCATGCTAAGGAATCACTGAGGCCTTCTTCCTGAGCTGCACCTAGTGACACCTCTAAAGCCTTGCTCCTGCAAGTTCTCCTTTGGGAGTGAAGGTTTGTTTGCATGAGGATCATCCTGTGGTGGGGCTGAGCCTAAAAATTCCTTCAGGGAATCAGGGGGACCTTGAAAAGGCCTAAAAGAATAAAAAGGAAATTGTTCAGTGGGAAAAATAGCCATTCAAACCAGCAGAAACCACAAAGAAAACAGGGTATGAGGTCAAACTCCCAAGTTTTAATAAGCAATTTTCTAGGTAGAAATGCCTGGGCAGTAGAAGTCAGTGAGCATTTCAGCTGTAGCATAGAGTTAAGTCTGTATTAATGCCAATATTGCATGAGTTCTTGTACAGAAATGCATGTGGAATGTTACATACATTCAAAACTAGTTATCTTTGGCGTCGTAGGATTCCTAACATAGATTTGAATACAAAGAGAAACAGTGCACAGGCATCAGACCTTAGTTATTTAAATGTAAGGACAGCCCTGATTCAGGAAAGAACTTAAAGACATGCTGAGATTTTAGCACATGCTTTACTCCTGCTATTTTTCATGAGATTAAGCTTAGGTTTGGTCAGAAAGCTTTCCTGGACTGCAGTGAATTAGTAAGTACTTTCAATATACTACAGCAATTCCAGGCCCTGTGAGATTCTGGAGCAGATTATAGTAATTCCACTATATACTCCAGAGTTTACCTTTTATAATTTTTTCTACTTTTACAAGCACATAAAACTCCACGGGATATGAGGATTTGCCATATTAATTCTGCTATAAAAACCCTGTCTAATTTGCCTCATGAGGCTGCCTTTAGTGTTTTCAGAGACTAATTGAATCACTAAAACTATATTGTTTGAAAACAGTACAGTATTTAAAAACAAATTGGAGAGACTCTTAAAGTAGTAGTAGGGCTTTGTTTCTTTGAAATCTGCCTTTATTCAGTATATTTTAGCAAATTTGCATGCACACTAAAGACACCTGTTTCAGATACACAGTCATTAGGAAGGAATTGGAGCAATCCTCCAAGCCTTGACTGATGTGTTTAGAATTCATACATTCAGGTGATGATCTTGAATGTATGAGATCAGGGCAATGCAACAAAATCTTCAGCCTTGGGATTTTTATCACTTGTAAAGCATTTGTAATCCTGAAGCTTCTGAGTTAAAGCCTCATCTGTTATAGGATTTGGAGCTAGTTCAGTTCCACCAGCTAAACAGTCAGCTGAGACCCTACACCTTGAAGTAATTTTGCAAGAGCTTGGTAATGGTGTTTTACCTTGGTTTGCTCCATGGTGGGAGCTGGAAGTAGCTTTTGCCTACCGTTGTCTGTGTTTCCCGTATCTGCACATTATTTACAATCTTCTCAGGAGCTAGAAACACTCATTGTGTTACTTTCATAGGCAATAGAAAAAGAATTCCGCTTAGAAAAAAATGTCCCCATCTCTTTCATCCTTAGCTAGCACACACATATGCATGCAAAAAAAAATCACACACTCAAGTCGAGCTGCTATTTCTCTCTCGTTTGCTTGTTCAGTACTTTTGAAGGGAAAAAAGAGGAGGTAAGGACCAAAAAAATTGTGGCAAACAGCAAAACAGTGTTACACCCAGGCAGTTCCAATAGGAAATAACGGCATTAAAGTGTTAGTTTCTCCTTATCCATTGGGATACTGCTGACATTTTCTAGGATGCCTTGTCTTTGCTTTTTCATGCCTTCGAGGTCGGCGCTGCTCTTCCTGTGGCTTCCCGGAACACCTTGTGGAGGTGCTGTGGAATGCCGTGCTGAATCCCTGCACAGACACCGTTCCAGAGTCAGCCATCCCTGGAAGTGGCATCCTCTCTGCAGGGGCACAGTGTGGACTTTACACTCTGAGCCTTCCCCAGAGCACTGAGAGCACATGAGTGATTTTGTCATTGACTTCAGGGGTAGCCCACAGCCATGTATCAGAGAGTTCTCTTACTGTAGTAGAGGCAGAATCATTTTTAGAAAGAAGAATAAAATACAGACAAGTAAATTAGGTATAAAATTAGTCTAGAAAGTGTCTCCTCAAGCTAAGACAATCCACAACCAGAGAAAAGCTATATAAAGGTGTGTTTGCCACACACAAGGTGCTGATCACGACCACAACAAAACACCTTCTTTCACGTGGTGACTTAGGCTCCAAGTTATTTTTCTGGTTGCTGATGGAAGCAGGCTGGGACAGTATTTGGGACTGGTGAAGTTCTTTGTAGAAGCAAATGGATGGCATCAGATGAAGATCTTTTTCTGTGTATCTAAAGAGTCAGGACAAGTGCTTTACACAGGATTCCTAGAAGAGATGCAGCTGAAACACCACCTTGGTGTAATGAGACCAAGAAGGTTAAGACTTTAAGTGCCTTCTAACATGCTTTGAGCTTCAGAAGCAGAACTGTACATGTGCCCAGCAAGGCCTTGGGGACAATGGCCTTGACAAAAAGGGACAGGGCAGACTTCGATTCTTGAAGTATTTAGCCCATCTTGCATTTATTCAACCAGCTCTGGGAAATTGCTGTCTCCAGAATCACAGATTTCTTCTGCTTGATTCCTCTGTCCCATCTGTATGAATCTGGGCAGGCCTCTCCACAGTATCTCAGGAAATGTTAAAGCTGAGTCTCGTGTCTCACAGGGCAGCTGCTCCTCACTGTGGAGTGAACTGGGCTGGGTTCTGCTACCTTGGTTATTGATTCTGCCATTCAGATATTCTTTACCATCCTTCTTTCCTCCTGGCTTGAGAGTTGTTATCTCGTTCTGAGTGCCTCCAGGTGAAAGGCTGGGACCAGTAATGTCTGTGGACCCCTCATTTTGTTTTGTTTCCTCTGGAGCAGATCTACAGTCATTTGATATTTGTCTGCAGGTCTGAGGCCAAGCTGACAAAAAAACATGTTTTAATAGGGAGAGTGGAGGTGTACAGAGAATACAAGTAGGTGGATAGAAAGGCTTTTTCCAGCAATGCCATTGCACAGCTCTCTGATGGAATCCCAGCTGTAGAGCAGGGTCTGACTATCACACCTGCAGGTGAGAATGCAGAGCTGTGGGGTCACAGGCCGTGTACATCCCTCAGGGCACTGTTTAGAGAAGGTTAAAAATACTGACACCTATTTTTGGCCAACAGATGAGCTCCTGAGCAAATGAGAATCAAACCTAGTGGATTCAGCAGTGGGATTTCAGAGCCACTGGGATTTTAGAGCTGTTAGTCTTTGGCATAACTCTGGACAGATCACTTTTCCTTGTGCTATGGTGTGCCAGTGCATGAAGGGCTGATCATAACACTGCTGTTTGTAAGGTGCTTTGAGACAAGCTGATACAAAGAGCTTGCTTTTAATATTTATTCTTTACTTAGTGAAGTCTGAGCACCTTATAGAAGCAAACTATTGCCCATTTTCTTTGGCAAATCTCTTGAGGAACCCCATGTGTCTCAAAACTGCTGTAAAAATGCTTCATTATTTTTGTAATGGTGAAAGACAGATGCCTCATTTTTAGCTCCCCCCCCCAAAACCCATGGATGAGTCAGCAACATCCCTGGTAGCGAGGCCATATCCACATCCAGCAGCCCATTTCTCTCATCTGGAGTTGCCACCTCTGGCCTGAATACAAGACCCTGCTACCCCTCTATTTGTTACACTTTCATGTAAGTATCTGGAGCAATTCACATTACCCTCAAAATATGGGCTTTGTGCTTGTAAACAGTGACTAAGTCTAATTATTTCAGTGGCTTTCTATCAAGGAAACAGTGGGACCGTTGTTGAAACCCTTCTAGTTTAAAAAGTATTCATGGCTAGATGGCTGCATGGGACAGAGCTGCCTTTCAGTTGCCTTGCTTAGTGCACTTACTTGAACTCACCTGTTCTGGCTCTGGCTCTTTATCTCAATGAACTGTAAACTCAGGACTCTCGAGCCAGTTCAGTTTTTCCCTTGGTCCAACAGTTTATAACTCAAACAGCTGAAAAAGGAGTATGCTGAAAGGGAATTAACAAATCTTCGCAGTAACTAGTCTGTCAGCTGAAAAAAGAAAGTTGGCATCGTTAGGGAAAGATGCTGTGGCGTCCATTGTCAAGGGAAACAAAGGGAAAGGGCTTCTTTCTTAGGGGAATGGTGGGGGACATTTGTTAGGAAGTGGTTACTGAGTGATGGAATGAGCTTGAACTGAATGGAAAATCAAATGGCAGGGAAAGCATGAGGTGGAGCACTGGCACATCGGTGCCATTGATGTGTGGGAATAATGAAAGAAAAAAGCCAAGAAATTCTAGGGGAAAACAAAAGAGGGGGTGCCTGGGGCTAACTGAGGATCTTCAGCTTGGTTTGGACAGGAGGGGCTCCTGGCCAGTTGTTGAGCATTTACCCCTGCAGATACCTAAGCCAGGGTTCAGGCTAATGTGCCTCAGCAGTGTGTCCCACTCCCAGAGGCAGAAATAAGGTCACACTTGGCTGCAGGCAGGAGAACTTGGCTTGAAGTTCCTTCCTTGTTCCTGTTTAGCTCTCCTGCCAGCATGTGTCATCCCTCAAATGGAGAAGGAAGATCCAGCCCTCTGCTGAATGACAGCACCAACCTGTGGTTTGGTTTTGTTTAGGTTCTTCTGTATCAGACCAGATACAGGAATTATCAACATGCCCTGGCTTGGAAAGGACAGGCCTGGCAC